CTGCTGACTCATATCCAGCTTCTCGTCCACTGTAATCCCCAGGTCTTTTTCTGCAGAACTGCTGCTTAGCCAGTCGGTCCCAAGCCTGTAGCAATGCGTGGGATTCTTCCTTCCTAAGTTCAGGACTCTGCACTTGTCCTTGTTGAACCTCATCAGATTTTTTTTGGCCCAATCCTCCAATTTGTCTAGGTCAATCATTCTTTTGTTTGTGTGTGATAGTGCTTGTATACATTAGTTTATAATTTTAAGTTAATCAAAGTAACGTTAAAGAAACAAGAACATCTCATCCTCATCCTTTATCAAAATATCCCAAGCACTGAAATATTGCAAGGATTGCTGTTACGTTTTCTTTTATGAAAAAATGTAGGCTTGCAGGTCTGTAGCTTCTTATTAATGAGAAATCATTTGGGGGTTGTTCAATGCATAACCTGAATGTGGTATTCAGGAACCAGTTTATTTGGCTACCAAAATCATAACCCTCCTTAGCTAAACCTCAGCTATGGCTGAAGATATTTTGCCACTTAATTCTTTATTTTTTGTTTGTGTTTTTATTACAATGTTGCCTGAAAGAAAATGCCCTTCTAAGTGAATTTACAGGTTACATGCAGGAAATACAGACTAACTGTGAGCCTGAGTCTTCTCCACTGCAAAACCATACCCTACTAATGAAAAAATAAATGTTCACTATACAATTACTTTCAAAATGTGATTGTGAAGGTATAGTATTGATGATTCTGCACTTGTGCACTTGTTATATGTTTGTAATAGCATTACAGCTATTTAAGATGATATGTTAGTGATACCCATGCTGAAACTGTAGAGCTACATGTTGTCTTTTAGGGACCCATTTGCAACTTCTTTGAAGTCCTCTACTCTGATTGTATCTCCTCTCCCTCATCGCTGACAGTGTGAACGGAATGCTAATCACAAGAGCACAGTCCTTAGGCTTCACAGCATGGACAGCTGAGCATAGGGACTGATACCACTTGAATAACTCTGTTCATCACTACAGCCAGAAGGGGGAAAGAGAGGAAATACTGCACCGAGTGACATCACACAGAGCCACATACACAAGGCAGGATGGCCGTGTGCTTCCTAACATAGTCAGGCAGTCACAAGCAGTGGTGGATTTAGAGTTAGTGGGGCCCTGTGAGCAGCTGCATTTTCGCCCCTCCTTGGGACCCAGCCACGAAAAAGAACATTCTCTCTTATCTCCCCCCCCCCGTTTTTCATTCTTTTTTCTTCCTCCTCCTCCTATATTATAAGTAATAGGAAGTAAATGAAAATAAAGTGAGGTACCTTGATTGGGACAGACGGTTGGGGTGGAGGAGGTGGTGTGGGGGTCAGGCTCTGGGAGGGAGTTTGGGTGCAGGGTGTAGGCTCTGGGCTGGGG